TCTTTCCCTTATACTTGTATACGATTTCTTTTTTTTCTTTTTTCTTCGTATTTAGCCCCCATTTGCACTAAAATGTAACATTTGGGGGAATCTGTTAGAACAGCTAAATAGTACAGTAGCCAGGGCCTTCCTATGTATGTTACCAGAAATATAAACTTTTGCTGTACACACAAGGTAGGTCAGGGTGGGGACTAACTCCTTGAGAGAGGCATAAGTTTTCATAGGCAACAGTCTACTTTGTCAGAATCTGTACAAAAACTGTAGCCCACTTATGGGGACATACATAGGAAGATCGTAGGAAACTAGGGCTAGAAGGGACCTCATGAGATCATCTAGTCCAGCTCCCTGCCCAAGGCAGGAAGATCCTGTCCATTATAGTATTTAGTTCACGAACGTCGTGTGCCCCTGGAGGCTGGGTGGGGGCATGCCAAGTTGCCGCAGGCAGTGGCAGCGACGGTGACCGGTGAGTTCCCACAGGCAGCTGTAGTGCTGGTGGCAGCGGGGGGGGCAAGCAGGGACCACCCACAGGCACCGCCGGCAGTGTTTGGTGGTGCCTTTTTGCAGGGGGTGTACCACCAAGCTCAGGGGGTGCATGTGCACCTGTGTGCCCTCGCTACCCATCACCAATGATTTAGTTATTGTAACAAGTTCCCCTGAAAGTTATACTTCAGCATCGGTGGAGCCTGAATGCTGTGCATGTAATGAGGTAGGCTGTCGCCTATGAAAGCACATGCCTTTCTGAACAAATTAGTCTTTTAGGTGTCACCCTGCCCTACCTTCTGCCAGACTTCAGACTAACACAGTTTCATAGATTTCATAGACATCAGGGCTGGAAGGGACCTCGGAAGATCATCGAGTCCAGCCCCCCGCCCAAAGGGCAGGAAGTCAGCTGGGGTCATAGGATCCCAGCAAGATAAGCATCCAGTTTCATCTTGAAGGTGTTCAATGAAGGCGCTTGAACCACCTCCGGTGGCAGGCTGTTCCAGACCTTGGGGGCTCGGACAGTAAAGAAGTTCTTCCTTATGTCCAGCCTGAAACGATCTTGAAGTAGTTTGTGACTTAGTTAACTACCTCTTGCTGGGTACACTTAAAGTTTGGATTGCTGCTTTATACCCAGGTCATGGGATGACACTGTTATAACTAGGTTCCCTGTCTGGTTTGGGTTCTAATATGGAAATCTGTAAGGAGTCAAAGTTGAAGAAAAGATGTTTACATAAGCATTTTGTATAGGCTAGCAGGGGAATAGGTAGGGTAAGGAGAGGCCTGAAGACAGGGAAGTTGGAGCAATTGAATTGGAAAATGTCTTGTTCTTACTCTGTTTCCAGCATTGAAAATAATCTGAATTTTAGTGGTGTGTTTGGGGATGCTGCATGCAGTTAGCATATTGTCAAATGTATTTAGAGACTGGAATCAAAATCATACAGTCATCAACTGCTAATGACGATTGCAATGGAAGTAAAGTATCAAAAGTGGGAAAAGACTTGGATGGTAGTAGATACGTTGGGGAGGCCTCGGAGGTAATATAATGGCTGCCTGTCTGGTTGGTAGTCGCAAGAAAGGTGGCATGTTAGTCGTGTTGATGTAATAATTCTGAGTGTATTGCATTTCAAATGGCAATGTGAGACTAGGTAGAAAATGCGTTGGGTGGATAAATATTTAAGGGGCAGAGGAGCATCTTGTATATCCATAGGAGAAGGACCAATTACAAGCTAGATGTACCTTACTGGCATTTAATTACTGGTCCTTCTCCTGGTCACTTCTCTTTGCATACAGCTAAGTCACATTGCTCCCCAGATTAAGTGGCAGCATATTAAAAAACATTAAGTAAAGTATTAATGCATGTCTGCTAGCACTGTTCCTTTTCAGATTATTCTTTAGCAGAATGAAAGTAGCTTGAGTTTGCTCTTCCTGTTCCAAATATGGCTTTCCCCCTTTTGTCAATAAAAAGAGCCTTTGATCACTTCTGGTGGAGCAGATTTTCAATTTTTCTTAATAAAAAAGAATAGTGGACTGTAAATGACTGCTTTTCAAAGTCTTAACCCTTAAATTTTGTTCTGAAGGCAATAGAGAATAATATTTATGATATTTAATACTGCTTTTGTCACCAAACACTGCCTTTTTGTTTTCTTATAGATCCTAATTATCTCATGGCTAATGAACGCATGAACCTAATGAATATGGCTAAACTGAGTATAAAGGGGTTGATTGAGTCAGCACTTAATTTGGGCAGAACACTGGATTCGGACTATGCACCTCTTCAGCAGTTCTTTGTAGTGATGGAGCACTGCCTTAAACATGGCTTGAAAGGTAAGAATGTTAAATTAAAAGGCTACTAGGGGAGAGAGTTGGGATAGTATGGCAGATCTGAATGTGAGGTGGGGAAGGTGAGGTAGTTTTGCTTTAAGAACGTAACTCTTATAATCAGACTTGCCAACATTAGTCTAAATGTTTTCACAGTTAGGGTGTCCAGACTGTGGAATACATTCCCTGCAGAGGTGGTGCAATCACCCTTCAGAGGTGGTGGAGACTGGATGGTCACCTTGCTGGGGTCACATGACCCCAGTTGTCTTTCCTGCCTAGTGCAGGAGGCTGGACTTCATGATCTTCCAAGGTCCTTTCTGGCCCCTTACAATCTATGAATTTATAAAGAGACTGAACAAGGTGATTGCAGCCAAAGTGGCATGGCATAAAGCAGAAGAAATCTATATACGTGTATAATCATCTGGCTGGCATACCTGGTTCTTTTTAAAGCTGCTCATCATTCTTAATGTTTTTAAATGTGTGTTGAATATGGTTGACTGGAAGCCATTGCTGAATAACTTGCTTCCTCAGCAAACTTAATTTCTTACTTTTCAGCACCTTCTCCTGCAGTAAAAAAGTAATATTGTTTCTCTGAGTGTGTGGTGAGCTGTAGCACAGTGACCCTTTCTCAGTAGTTTTATCTGATGTATAGGTTTCAGATGTTGTTGTGTGGCTTAAATCTGGAGTGTAGCTTTCAAAAGGTACCAGCGGCATGTTTGTTTAACCATAAAGTATGGATGTATAACTTAAAGTTGCAAAAATATCATCAGTGATTTGCTGCCTGTCATGTCAGACCTTTGCCAGTGCCTGGCTGCAGTTGGGGTGTGGATTCAGGTGAACCAATTGATGGTGAATCCAGACAAGATGGGGGTTATAGCAGTGGACAGCCCACATGACCTGGAGGGGGAATGTGGGGAGTCAGGACACCTATTGTTTATGGAATTCAGTCTCCCTTTGTCAAGGAAGGTGCCGGGTTTGCAGCCTTAAGGTGCTTCTGGAGTCTGTGCTGCACCTGCTTTTCAGGTTAGTAGTGGCTAGGAATGCCTTTCACTGACTACATTTAGTGAGAAGACTGACCCTTTCTTCCAGATTTATGTGTGCCTCATCTGTGCCTTCATAACCTCAAAGCTAGTCTACTGCAATGCATTTTATGTGGGGCTGTCCTCAGTGACCATCTGGAGGATGCAGCTGGTGCAGAATGCTGTGGCCTATTTTCTGACTGGGGGTGGGTAACCAGGGCACATAACTTCAGTATCCCAGAATCTGCACTGGCTTCCACTAGCTTTCTGGGTGCAATTCAAGATTCTCACTATGACTTATAAGGCCCTAAGTAGTTTGGGCCTGATGTATGTAAGGGCTTGTCTTCTCTCTTATGCTGCTTCACAATTCCTGAACAATCCCTAAGATCAGTTAAGAGTAGCCTCCTGAAAATGCCATCAGTGCACCAAGTCCACTTGGCAAAAACACATGGGAGGCCATCCTTAGTAGTTGCCTCAGTTCTGGAACTCCCTCCCCCTTGAGGCCTGCCAGAGCCTGACCCTGTAGATCTTTTGGAAACACTCTTAAGATCTTTCTGTTTGGGCAGGTGTTTAGCAAGCAAAGTTAAGCTGGGATATTGTTTAGACGAGTTTTGCTTGTAGTTCATTTTAATACTGTACTGCAGGTACATCAAATGTATGATTTCCCATGGGGCTCTTGGAGCTGCCGGGAATTCAGGAATGGTGCAAGCCAGGGCAGGGTCCACCACCAAATTCTGGGGTATGGAGCCCTGTTGTGAAAGCTTTTTGCTGAAGAGGTAGTGGGTTGACTGCATTAACTCCTGCAACTTCCTGATGTGTCCAGAGGTGGGTCTGGATCAGGTCTGTGAGGAGCCCTGCAGTTCAGTTCTGGCCTAGGGGGCCAAATGAGTTTGACTCCCCTGCTGTATTGGCTTTTACAAGTTTTTGTTTCTCCTATTTGTCCTCTTATTCACTTGATTTATAAGTTATTTGCCCTCTTCTGCAAGTTGCCGTGAGCCTTTGTCAGGAAAGAGTTTATAAATGTAATAAATATATAAAATGACTACTTTGGGGGAAGAAAAGAGCATTTACTTTTGAAAATGAATTGGAGATTGTCTAAACTGTCTGCAGCTTTTGTACAGATCTCCTGCAATGCTATTTTAGTAGCTGCTTCCAAGCACTATAGAATCATAGAATCAAAGGATTGGAAGGGACCTGCAAGATCATTGAGTCCAGTCCCCTGCCATGGGCAGAAGGTTATTGCACTCAAACGAGCTCAATGAGGTACTTATTCAGTCTCCTCTTGAACACCTCCAAGGATGGTGACTGCACCACCTCTGCTGGGAGTGTGTTCCAGATTCTAGTTACCCTTACAGAAAAGATTTTTTTCCTTATGTCCAGCCTAAAGTTTCCCTCAATTAGCTTGTGTCCATTGGTCCTCTCAAGGGGTGCCTTCCTGAAGAGTTGCTCCCCTAGGTCTTGATCCTCACTCTTGACCTACTTGTACGCGGCTATCAAGTCACCTCTCAGGTGGCTTGATGGCTTTTTTGGTTACTTATTGAATAAATTATTTCAGTGCTGGTTATAGTAAGATTATGCTAAGAGAGATTTATTTTTATCCTTTTAGCACCAGTAGGTGCAGGTAAAAAAATCCACTTTCCTGTTCACTAGGGAGAGAGAAGATATCTTGGGTGAGGTGTGTGCATCTAAGCCATTCATTTTTATTTTTAATTTTAAGAAAGATGCAACAAGAATAAGTTTCTAATACAGTTGTGAAAATAACCCTTTAGATATGAGCTGTATATGAACTACTGCAGTATTGTCTATCCAAGTCTGCAGAGACAGCTGTAGTACCACTACTGGTGTCTATAGCTTCATGCTAATAACAATCTGATTAGCTTCACTGTCACTGTTCAGAAACCAGCAAAACTGCAAAAGTATCATTTCATGCTCTTGCTGCTTAAAGTGGGCACCAGAGTTGTTAACTAAGGGAACCATCTTTCTCAAGATTCTGGAAACTGCAGAGGAAAGGGAAGGGTCAGAAATCAGGAGGTGGTAGAGTTATTTTCTAACAAGATTCAGATCTGACCAAGTGCACTACAGAAAGGTCTAGTGACAGCATTCTGGTAGAAATTCTAGCCCCTCTCTTCTCAGGAGCTGGGGCAAGGGTACTCACCACCACGTTGTCCTTGGGTGTTGCTCGTGTTTCCTCCATGCCATATTTAATATCTACTTGTGGCAGCATTTGTTCCAAGCTATCATTCATTTACTTTATACTAATATCACCCATAAACATGATAGGCAATCAATCCTGCTTGTCTAGGGTGCACTCCACCATTTGAGAATCTGTTCTTGAACCCACTTATTTACAAGAAAGAGATAAAAAAAATAAAACAGTGTTGTCATTAGTATTTCTGAAAAGAAAACTTCCTGGAGGTTGCAGATTTGCTTTCAGTTCAATTTTGAACAAGCTTGAGGATGTATTTAGATGGTGTGGGTGTAAGACCTGTTAATTTTATACGTATCTTTTTTGTTTTAGCCAAGAAGACTTTTCTTGGGCAAAATAAGTCATTTTGGGGACCTCTAGAGTTGGTAGAGAAGCTTGTTCCTGAAGCTGCTGAGATCACAGCAAGTGTTAAAGATCTACCAGGTCTTAAGTAAGTAAAATCTTGTTCTGCTGCTTTACAGGTAAATCCTGTAGGCTTTAATTGTAAGTAGTAGACTAATTCTAAGGAGGGGAAGGGTGTAGGGTCGGGGGGAGAAAATCTATCCTCTGCCATTTCCTGTCAGTACAAATGGATCTAAGGGCCCTCTACACAGGCAGGTAAAGGTGCGATGGGATTTGATGTGTGATCAACACAGTTGTACCTCCTGTCATGCCACGTGTGGCTGGCAGGAGGCATGATTGTGGGATCACAAGTTGGAACCCAACCACATCTTACTGCTGGCGCAGGGGGAGCCTGATTCTGAGCCCAATCCTGATCCCAGGCTCCCCCTGCATGATCCCATGGCTGGGAGCCCCATCAGGTGACCCTGGGTCCCAGCCCCACAGCTGACAGTGTCCCAATCACAGAGGCACCCCATGAACCCCTGTGGCTAGGACACTGCCTCAGTTGCAGTCTTGCAGCTGCAGGAGTGCATGGGGTGCCCCTGTGGCTGGGACACCATGTCAGCTGATGGGACTCCCGTGGCTGGGAGCTAGTGTCAGGTGGGAGCTCCCAGGCTGGGGGTGCACATGGGCCCCTCACCTGGAAACTCTGATCAGCTGATGGAGCTCTCTGGCCCTGGCCACATGATCAGTTAATGGCATGATAGGAAGCAGCTGCAGAGTCATTGCACATAACTTTGTAGCTTATTCCTGTTTTTATCCTGCTGTTAATTGATTTAATGTGTGGTCAAGTGACTACTTAGGACCTGATTAACTGGCTAATCATGCTTTAAGTGTAATGTGTAGATGGGGCTTTAATCTTTCCTTTGAGAAAAAAATTGGTCTTGAGGAAGGATGTTCTTTCTCATTGTAAAAAATGAACTGTATGTTTCATGCCAGGAATAAATGAATGGCACTGAGTTCTGAGAAAAGAAACAGCCCTTTCTCTCCGGTCTGATTCAAGAGGAAGTGTGTTAGGAGGGTGGATTAAGAGGAGGAAAATATACCGTAAGAATTTTCTGTGATATATTGGAACGCAGTGACTATCTGAGCTTGTTGAAAAGATTGATTTTAAAAAGGAAGGTGGGGTAGTGGTCAAACGGTCAAAAATATTAATAGGAAGGTAATAATTTGTGGAGTAGAGGGAATAATTTTATATATCAAGACAACTAAAAATGGCAGCAATGAAGGAAAGTGGAGGTAAGGTTGAGTGGCAGCTTCATTAACTCCTTGGGTCTCACATTTTGCGGGGATTAACACTGCTGTTGCTGCCTGTGGGTCATCCAGCCCACAAGAAGCCCCACAGGCCAACTGAGTTTGACACCCTTGCATCTTATGACACCTTTACCTTAGCTAGTGTGCTTAGTTTTGCTTAACTCCTATTTCTGATATATATATTTTTTTGAAGTGGGATATGTGGAGAAGTATAGCAAAAACGATAGGAGATGTAGACTTCCATACAAAAATAGAGGAAA